CCCCAAAACCCCAAAACCCCATAGAGGTAAATTAGTTTGATCTTAGCAGTATGTATTAAATCGCATTTAAAATATATATTATCATAATTTTATAATTATTAGTTTAAATTACTGATGGAGTCTTCTGAGTCTTTAGAAAGCAAACAAGAATAAGAAGAATTTACCTAATTCATGATAACAGAATTCGAACGTTACAATATTGAAATTTGATGAAAAGATGAGATTATACTTAGATGAATACTGAAAGTGGCTGTTTGATAGTTCTAACTTTGATCATGATATTCAAAGCTAAGTTGATCTCAGCAATTATAATGGGGTACTAAGTTCAAATCCTATTGAGATCATGATGAAACATAGGACATCTAAGAACATCGCTGAGTTTAAAATGATGAAAATAATCTGTATGCTATTTTAGAAAAGCCTGCCTAAAAAACTATTCTAAAAAAAGATAGAAGAATGTGCACTGTTCCTTTTGTCAGATTAGTATAGGGAGCTCAACCAGCCACAATAATAGTAAAATGGGAGCTTTCCCTCGGATCAAATGATGAAACATTCTAAATTACTAACATTTTATGCTTACATTCTATTTTCGTACTTTGACAGAATTTCATGTTTTGATGAATCTTTTGATTTTAATGCAAAAATTATACTCAATATTGTCATTAATCACAACCCTACCATATATCTAAAAAGCAGAAGTTATGAAGACTAAGATCAAGCCAATAAAATGATTTGCATAGAGATATGAAGTACTTAGTTTTGTCTAAAAACCTTCTGAAACTTATGGACTTGATCTAATTCAGTTGGCTATTAGATTCCAGAATTATGAACTGTTATTGAAGATGATGAACAAACTTGGCGACAAATTAGATCTGTCTAAGTATAATGGTAAAAGCGCGAATTTGATGCCATTTTTTCATGAAATTATTACATTCGAGCCTAAACGTAATTTTGAAAAAAATGAAATTTTAAACCTTAAAGTACTTTTTACTTAATATAGACATCTACTTACTGAGTCATATGAAAACAAAAATATTGCAGAAAAAATTGGAAAAATACTTTATGTTAAAAACAAAGAGACTCTAATGAATTTTTATTAAGAATCTTACAATTTGATTCTATTTGAGTACCTTTTTATTTTA